TTCTTTTTCCATAACAGATGGGTATGTTTTGGTGAACAGGAGACACTTATTTTACTGTTTTAATGGCTTATCAAGAACTCAAACACAACATCTTGGTGTCATTCTGGACAGCTCTCTCATCTGCAACCCGCATACAAAACATCACGATTCTTTGTACTGTCTTAAAACCTTTCCTTGGAATAAGTTATGAATTGTAAGGTGTCCTTGGGTGCTTTGAAAGGCGCCCCTAAATAGAATGAATTATCAATATTATTTATTATCTGAAACGATGTAATAACTTTTAAAACTTTTTCCAGTCACTTGCCCCATGCATTCAGCAGCAGCAGGTCATTCACTTTGATTTGATCCCGTTATGAAATGTCATCATTTCGACAATAAATAAATGCTACATAAACGTTATCTTGCACATTTTATCTATCCATCTCCGTTTCTAACTTTCAATAATATATTGCGTGCGGGGGCGGGGCCTCACAGACACGCTGCATCTCTCTCTTGCTCACAGACATGCTGCAGCGCTGTGCAGTGTGCACAGTTCTGCCGGTAATGAATATTACATTTTGTGAGGAAACTTTTCCACAAAAATTTCAATAAGTATTCCAAAATGTATTCACTTCAGGTTTACGAAAGTAACTGTTATCAGGTTACTCGTTTTTTAAATGTAACGCCAGCTGAATACAGTTAGCCTACTTGATTTTTGTATTCTGACTACGTAACGCCGTTACATGTATTCCGATAAAACCAAACCCTGCTTCTAGGCTACTGTCCCGCATGCGGCTCCTGCCTCTCTGTTGGACTCTGTCGCAGCGGGGCTACTGCTTTGCTGCGGAGTGCATAAAGCAGACTCTTCACAACGAAGGATCACTTCTTCTTCTTCAAGGCAGGGAAGGTTTCGAAGTAAGCAGTCTACTGTCCCGCAGCTGCTGCCTCTCTATTGGACTCCGCCCCTTCACAATAAGCACCTTACTCACTAGACGTTGTAAAACAGACAATGGGTGGGGGGCGGATGAGAATGTCTGGCCGGCCGGATGTGGCCCGCGGGCCGCCAGTTGGTTGTCACTGGCCTACAGGTTCACCGTGGTAATAATAACTTACTCTGAAGTAGCTGTGCAATAATGTTCTTAATTATTGCTAAATGTTCGCATTTCAATAAAGCCATGCATTTTGGAGTCTCATATTATAATTACGATCATGTATAGGATCAATATATATTGCTTAATATTAATATTAATTGTTTATGTAGGCCTAATCCTTATTAGCGTGCATTATATGAACAATGTAATCTAAAATATTTTACTAACCACATTGTTGAAGCTGATGTTACATTTCAGTGAATGTGTGTGTGGATTTCTTAATACTTTTGATATGTCTAATGCTTGAATACAAGATCATAATTTCAACATTTCAACTGTGTCTCACTCTGGTTTGTGTGTCTAGCCTTGTGCATTTGAATGTGCTATAATATAATGGATATTACAAAAGAGTTTCTGAAAGTTCAGACCTTCCTTGGAAACTCAGACTGACTATACTTGTTAGTCAGTCCCAAATAGTTTTGTGTAATCCTCCAAGATGAACATAATTGCCAAATTTAAAAGGATACTTATTCAACACATAATGGTAGCCTACAAAATGAACGGTGTGGTGGTTTGGGTGAGTCAAACTCCGGTCTGACTTTGTGTCAGTCCGCCACCTATAGGCCTAAACTGCTAAAACTATGATAGCCGCCATGTTTGTAGGCTCAAACGAGGGACATTATAGTTCACGGTCTGTTGGGAAAACAGGAATAATATTTCACAATAGTATTGAAAAAATGTCTTTGGCTAAAACTAATCAAACCTCATTAATATTTTCGTGACACACATTAGGGGATTCAGGACGGTCTATGGTTTTGTACATAATTTGTATCAAATGAACATTTTTTCCTCCAAATTATACAAATATTCCATATATTATTTTTAGATATTGTGGGAAATAAGGTCACAACAAAACGGCCTGCTCCATGTCAAACAAGAAACTTCTGGATAATGTAAAAAGATAATTTAAAAAGAAAGCCAGATAAGCTACAGCATATTCCGAAAAGTGTCCAAAACGTGTTTCGTTTATGTCGTCCAAAAAAACCCTGCTGTCCTTAAATGCAGCATGACGTAGGCGGGGAGAGGGGGACGTGCGTGGGGCCATGCGTAGTGAAACCCTGAAACCCGCCCCTTCACAATAACCCCCAACCTACAAAATGACTAATGCTGTGTAGGAGCTGTGCTGTTGTAACATTTGAAACTGCGTTGAGTGGAAACACTCAGGGCTCACTTCCACAGTAACTCGACCTGAGGTTTTTCATTCCTCTGCTGCTGTTCCGGGCTCAGGTTATCTCTAATTGCTACGAGGACACTGACGTGACATTCATTCATCCACAACAACAATGGCAGCACAGGATTTTAATTTCCTGCTCGCGACGGATTCGTATAAGGTGAGTGGACCTGTTCTCCTTTTCTGTTCCGCTTTTGATCTATTTCGGGTTGTTCTCCTTATTGAATTGAAATGAAACAGTTTGTTTAGGAGTCACCTTCCATTCAGTGTTCCACTACAACCCGCTTCACATCACGAGTGACTTAACGTCCGCCAGTCCCTTTGGCTAAGCCGAGTGTTGTGAATGTTAGAGTTGTAGTTAGTGGCTAAACACCTTTTTATACAGTAGGGTACATATTGAAAGTAAGGCGACAGCAGCAGTTTTATAATGCTATCGTTGTGCTCGTGTTGTGCTCTTCAGTCAGACAGTAGCAGAGGATACAGCGGGTAAAGTCCAGCACGCAGTCATTAAACAACATGAACCCACCTATCTGTACATATTCTGATGTCACTGTTGCCTAGTTCCCAGGCTTCGTTTCCCCTGAAACTATTCTTCACACTTTACTGTAACTTTACTTTAAAGATGTTTTAGTTTAAGCTTAAAAGCCTGTTAATGCTTAGTTTAGTTAATACATACTAGCTGTGAGTATATCTCCCTACATAATCCATAACACGGCTAAGAAGTAAGAACACTTATTTGGTGATTATTGAATTGGCATAATCAGACTTTATCGTAGAAACATCGCAGTTTAGTTTCGTGCATGAAAGAGCTCCACCTTTCAATTTTTGTTTAGCTTTCAGTTTCATTTAACTCAATTGGATACTTAAATCCAGAGGTGAAAAAAGAACTCAGAACTTGTACTTAAGTAAAAGTAACCTGAGTGTAGGAACATACTCTGTTACTAGTAAAAGTCCTGTAATCAAAATGTTACTCAAGTAAAAGTACAAAAGTATTGGCATCTAAATATTCTTAAAGTACCAAAAGTAGTCATGCAGATTGGCCCATTAAGAGTGTGTGTATTTGTATAGGTTTATCTTATTTGTTTTTTTATTTGTTGGGGGGTGTTTAGTTGTGGGATGGATGTNGAAAAGCTGGAGGCCGGAAAAGAGTGAGACAGGTAGCGCGCAAAAGTAAATCTGTCTGTCTTGCTCTCGTTCTGTCTCTCGTACCACTCTCGGTTCCACTTTTACTTTTGCGCGCTACCTGTCTCACTCTTTTCCGGCCTCCAGCTTTTCCTGCTGGAGCCCGCCGCTTAAAGGTGGGGGGCGCGGACCGGCCATTGAGCCCATAGAGTTAAAGGTGGTGGACTGTAACCTGTAAAATCCATAGATCTAGGAGGTTCCCTAGTGGCCGTTAGCTGTAAAAATCCATAGATTAGCCGCACCGTTATATAAGCCGCAGCGTCGAAAAATGGGAAAAAAGGCGCGGTTTATAGTCCGAAAATTACGGTAATTTATATTGTATTATACTCTACTGAGTTTTAGTTCTACACTCATCATGATAACAAACACATTATAACGCCCTACTTTACAACAACACAACTGCAGCTTAGTTTGGGATATCAAGCTTAAAACATTTACTAAATTAAACAGGTATACTGTTTTATAATATGGTACCTTTACATTTTCTGGGTGTATTAGACCATTGTGGGAAGTGTTGCAAAACAATTGTTTATGTGTCTTTTTTTACCTTGAGTTATCAAATATTTGATATGCTAAAACAAATATTACTGTATGTTTTCCTCTCAATTTCTCAATATACCACTATATTAAAGGTGGGGTAGGTCATTTTGGAGAAACCAGCTCGAGTGCTAGAATTTGAAAATACACAGCCGAAAAAAAATCTGCTACTTCCTTACAGAGCCCCTCCTCCAACACACACGAACGCGCACATGACCAGCTGGTTTCTCAAACTTACCTACCCCACCTTTAATTCAGAAGTGTACTTTAGAGGGGTTACAGGAAAAGCGATGTTGCAATCATATCTCAAATGCACTTGACCCCTGCATGCTGTGAAGTGTTGGAGGAGAGGAACTAATTTTTCCATCATCCCAGATTATGTATGACATTGTGGGAGTATTCCAGGAGTGGAAAGGACCTTTAACCATCCACTTGTGTGTTTGGTAAGGTAAGGTACGTTTATTTATATAACACATTTTCCGACACAGAGGCAATTCAAAGTGCTTTACATCATCATTAACACTTAATAAGAAGACAACAGAAAGGAACACAATAAATTAACATAATGGAATAACAGATTCATAAAAAACATGCACAAAAGAGATACAGAATAGTTTAAAAACAACATTGTAAATACGGTAGGTGCTGAAACAAGTTAAAAGACTTCTGGGTAGGCAGCTGAAAAAAGTAGGCTAGTGTTTTTAGCCATGACTTAAGAGAACTCAGCGTTGGTGAAGTGGGGAGCATAAAAACTAAAAGCAGCTTCGGTGTGTTTAGTTCTGAGCCCCCGATGATCTCAGAGCTCTGGGTGGCTCGTAACAGAGCAGCATGTCGGACATATATTGGGGTCCCAAACCATTTAATGCTTTATAAGTTAGCAATAAAATGTTGTGTGTGTGTGTGTTGTGCTCTCCAGACGTATGGAATGGGCGGTGAGAACCTCCGCAGCCTGACAGAGAAGCTGCGTGCCGTGGCCCACACCCTCCAGATGGGCATCCAGGGCCGCTGGCGCCTCAACAGCTACGATGGCCGCAGCACCACCAAGCTGCCTGCCGTCATTCTGCAGATGGTAGTGGAGCTCATCACATCTGCCAAAGGACTCTTCTCTTTGCTCAACAGGTTGGTAAAGAGGGAGTTATCTAACCGTTATATATATACAGCACTCGAAATGCTATTCTTTCTGCAGGTATTTTTCACACAGGAAAGTTTCTCTGCTGTTTATTATTCAAAGAGAGAGGCTGTAGATGTTGTTACTGAATACAAAAATAATGGCTATGGGTTAAAATTATTTAGAGGTTTAGCCATTGTATGGCAATGTTTTGGTCTATGCATTGACTTGCTGTTTACCTGTAGCCCAATTAGAAATAAGACACCTCTTCCTTTAAAGTTTCCCCCTCTCTGTTATTCTTATTCTAAGATGTCATTGTTCCTTTCATTTAACAGTGTGACATAACATCTTTGTTCTTGCTTTCAGGAAATCCTCCCTGTCTCTAGCCAGACTTATTTGAAATGTAATCTCTGTTTTGCCAGGTATCAGTTTTCCCAGCTCAGTGGATGCACCTCCACCAAGAACATATTCAACTACTGCAGACATCTGGGAGAGATTGTCCACAAGGTTGGTCCATTCATGGCTTTAATCGATTATTCACAACACTCTTGTGTGACATTAACACTTACAATCTGTCCATCAAATGGCTGCCTTTACATTGTAATTAAATGGCCAGTTTAGGAAATGCACATTTGTTCATGAGAACAAGGTGTTTATCTTAAGAGGAACCACACATAAATAACCTTGTTTCTAGTTGTGTTGTCATGCACACTACATTTCCAAAGAGGAAGTACTACCTGTTTGATTACTTTTTTAAATCACCCCCCGAAAAGCAGCACGAATACCAGAAGCACCAACATACCTCAGGTCCTCAGCTAAGCCTGAGTAATGAATTCTTTATCTTTGCATTCCTAGCATTTTTGTAGTCGGCTGTACCTTGAAGAAGCTTAGGTTGGAAGGATTACCACAGAGGAGGGCTGCGTTCTGTTTGCGTTTACCTCTTCATGGAAATGTGTGAAAGAAATGGAGGGAGAGTCGGTGTTCATTAACAAAACAAGGGTGAAAAGTGATTATAAGTAGTAGAAAAGTACAGGCCTGAATATGTTCTAGTGCCTAGGGGGAGGCGGGATGCAAGGAGGGAGGGAAGGGCAGAGCGGGAAGCAAAGGGGAAGGCAGAGAAAGGAGGAGGAGACTGAAAGAGGGATTGCACCGACTTTTTAAATGACTTCTGACTTCTGAGGGAGTGTTGCTGGATGACCAACAGAGCAACAGACGGTGAGAGACTATTAGGGGTACTACAGTGACTCCGGGGATAAAAAAAACACCTGACAGAAGTGAAGAAGACAAAAAGATGAACAGAAGGAGAGATAATTAAAGAGGTAAGTAGGCAGTCAGAAGCTGTGGGCGAAAGAGAAGTGTCAGTATTTAGAGCAGTTTATATTTAGTCCTCTATAGCCAGCTTTGGACGCCTACCCCGCACGACAGGTAAAGTTCTCAGCTCTTTGATTGGATAACCCCCCGCAAGGTGACGCTTCTGCTTTAGCTGCTTTTTCCCTTAGCTTAAAATGACTTAACAGAACTAAGTATATTTCTTGCCTGATGGTTTTTAGTTAAAGTTGTGCAAAAGAAAGAATAATTTGGATAGCTCTGTTGTTTAAGGGGTTGATAATAATGTGAGCGATTATTCAAACTTCATATGATATCTATTATAACCGTACGTGGATGGTTTGAACCAGAGTCAGCATGTGATAAAGGAGAGTTGTGGTTTTTGTGTCGGTGTACAGTAACTTTATTCTTATTGACCAGGGGGAGGAAGGAAGTATGGGTTTCAAACGTATTGAGCCTGTTGACTCTGATAGGATGTTTTTTTCACGGCGAAATGATTCCGATTTCCGCCTGCTGACTGTTGTTTTCATTCATAGTCTCCTTGGCACTCTGTTGTCAGTCCCTCTCAGAGGTTGAGCATTGTCTGGTAATGTCTTGCTACTGTTTGCTCAATTCCTGCTAACTTTGGTGCTGTGTTTCTGTATAGGTGTGTTTGTGTGTGTGTGTAGGTGTTTTAAAGGTAATAATTACTGTCCATTAAGATGTAGAGAGAGAATATTCCCAGTGAGTTAAGGCTAATTTCATTTAGTTTTGGCATGTCGATCAAACATTTTGTAAACTTTCAACTGTCTTCTCTCTGTTAAGCATTACCTTCACAAAACGTAACTGGAGATACAATCTGCATTGTAGCTGTTTTGGCAGGTGCTGTGTCATTCATTCAGCTAAAGGTCGGTCTTGGACAGTGAACAAGCCCTCATACCTGTTCAACAAGACAAGAGAAAATGAAAGTTCAAATAATGTTGGTTCAGCTGTCATCATAGCATTATTAACCTGCGGTTACAGGCCGGAGAACACATGTAGCATGTACTTTATAACTGTATGACATTACATAAGCATATGTGTGTGTCCTTATATCATCAGCATTGTATGGTTGACCATTGCTAAAACACATTAGTATAGTCATGGCTTCTCAAAATGTGCTCCTGGCTAATCGAGGCCGGTGTCATGTCCGCGCGTTCTGTGACGTCTTTGACTTGCTATCAGAAGCCCGTGGCTTCTTCATGACGTCCTTTTCTGTAGAACTGCTTTCGCAGAAGCTACACCACATCTTTCAAACCAATGAAAGGACTTTTATTCCCAGCGTTTCTGTGTGTTCTCGCACCCCGAGGGTGATCAAGGTCAGTAGTCAGCTGGTGATTTTGGGATCCCACTGTGAGGTTGTTGTGTCATCGTTTTGCAATACGCACACACTCAGTCTGCTTAGAACCAGCCGAGCAGCAAGCAAAGTCCAGGAGACCGGGCGGAACAGAGAGAGGGCTACACTGTGAACTTGGATTTGAGAGCAAACAATGTATTTCAAAGCATTTCATTAAGGTATGTGAGTTTTTTTGGTGATTTAAACAAAAAAGGAAAAGGAGAACATTTGTTGCAAAATCTTACCTTTAAAAATATGTCTGACATAAAAACCTTCACCTGAAAATGCAACTTCAAGTGACTTCAATGTTCAACTCACAATTACAGAACTAGGAGTGCCTGAAACAGTGTTTCTTTGTTTAAAAGTGGACATGATGATTATGTAATGAAAAACAATGGACATACTGTTGTCCAATATGCAATTAGCAACATATTTCTGCTATTTGAGGACTTGTTTAGAAGTCCAGGGTGAATAATGAGAGGCTTGACAATAGATGGGAGAGATATTGAGGGGACTGTACTTCAAACTGAACCTGACAAATTAAGAAAGAGGCCTCATCTATGTAAGTTGTCAGAAGTGAATAACTTATTATTATATATGCTGCTGAAAAACATTGCACACGCACAATTCAATGTTGAGAGGAATGCTAAGGCAAGGACAACAACATGGACAGGGTAGGAAGATTTGGACAGCAACACAAGGAGCAGATGTCAAATGAATCTTCTGTAATGTCTCCCAGTCTTTTTATAGCAAGTGTGTGTGACCTGTTGGCAAATACAAAATATCCACTGGTTCACGATCAAGTATGTAAACATACACCGGAGACAGAACATGATGGGGCTTGTCTTGACAAGGCTTTTGATTCATTAGAAAAGCAAAGGAAATCTGTTTCGATTGGGTCTAGAGCATTCTGGGTTATTACTTCTCTGTGTGTTTTGTGCATCACAGTTTCAGCCTTTTTGTACATGTGTGTCCATGCATGCCTTTGTGCATTCTTGTTGTCCGCTTTTTTCCAAGTGTTACACCCACATAATAGCTTGTCTTTGTTTCCTAGACAACTATAGAGAGAGAACAGCTTTCAGGCACAGATCGCTGCTGTAAAGTTAGCTCACCACCTGATCGAGCCACACACGGCCTTCACAGCACAACACAAGACTTTATTATCAAGTGAACTAGACGTACGTTACCTAGCTGCACAGATGAAGGCAATGTGTTAAACACTTTTCACCCTTTATGACAATGTTGCAAAGCACAGCTGTTGTCATTTACCAAAAAAGGGATCTGAAAGGTTCTTTTCTCAGAAACCTATTATAATAACATGAATCTTAGTGCAGCACATTCTGCACGGCTTTGTCTGCCATTCATTGATGGGGTGTGTTACTGTTGTGGCTAATAAATAACTACTGTTGCTACAATGTGATGGAGTAAAAGGTCAGATTTTAAAGTCATTCTCTGGTATGAACTAGTCGTTCTGTGGTATGAACATGTGTCCTGTTCATTTTGGCGCAGTTGCTCAAGAAGGTTCATATAATTAAATCATTGTTTTTTCTTTATTGATCATACTGTAAGAATAGGTTGTTACGAATGCCGTATTTTAATGAGGGTTGTTTGAACACCCAGAGTTTAAATGTGATATGATCTTGTAACCCTTTCTTGTCTTTAGGTATGGGAGAAGTTAAAGTGGTTTATATCTAGAGGCTGTTTGGATGGATTTGACCGTTTATACATCTTCTGTTGCAAAACCTGAGGGGTTTCTTCAGGTTCTTCAAGAACAGCAGCAGTTTTTTTTCTTCGAGTGACATATTTTAGTTAATATTTTATCGACTGAGAAATGAATAGAAGGAAGTATGAACATGCTGCAGGCTGTCAGGGACTAAACATGTCCAACCCACAGCTCCTCTTCTCACATCCTCATCTCTTTTATTCTCTGCTGGTGTCCCTGCCTTAACAATGAAACACTTTGACCTAAATGCAAAGGCATCAAATGCTTCATATCAATGCGTGTGTGAAAATGGTATATGTACTGTAAAACTGATGGATATACAAAGTGTTTTTTTAATACTTGTTACTTCATACTTGATGTTAATGCGCTCTAGACTTTTGTGAAATAGGTTCAATTAAATCAGAAAGGGATTAGGGTTGAATGTATTTGTGGTTGTGAGTACATGTTTCATGGCAGAAGTATACCTGTCACACAACTCACAATCTCAATGTGTCATTTCCTTTTAAAAAGAAATGCGGAACAGGTTGTGATGTTGTGGGGAAGCTTCCAGCAGCTCGAAATACAATTGAAAAGCACAGGTGTGGATATTGCCTAAAAAGCAATGGTGAGATGCTGGAAATAAGGAGGTGTTACTAATGAGGCGAAAGCAGAAATGATTAAGGGTGCAGTAGGAAGTGCCAACAAGATTTAAAACTCTCGGTTGCCACTACTCAGCTACTAAATCACACTTAGTGGAGGATCTCGCAAAGTACTGAGATTTTCTGTTCTTGGATTAAACCACTGTTTCAGTATTTGTAACCATTTTTAAACGGTGAATCCTGCTGACATGTAGCGTAACATTACTTGCTTAACTTGCTTTGCCATAGTTGAACAACAATCATTTTTATTTCCCTAATGTATTATCCATTGGACGGATTGCAATTAAATACTTCTCAGACATCGATGGTCCTCATAGGATTTAGCATCAAGCACTACCATAAGGTTAACATGTAGCCTAACGTTAAATGTGTAAACAACTATCGGACAAATTGCTCTAAAATGTTGTACAATGTTTAATGTTCCCTCTATGATGAACTGTAATAACTATGGAAGTGTTTAATTGGTTCAATGCCCTGGTGTATGACCAAATGCCTCGGCTTTACGTTTTTTAATGCTGCTAATTACTGTAGCAAATGTAAGCATGCTTGCATCAGTAATAGCAATTGTCATTGCGAGCATGTTAGCATGGGGACATTAGCATTTAGGTCGAGCATTACTGTGACCTACAGCAGCCACACAGAGTTGCTCAGGGAAGTGGATTCTTATCGTTCTTTCTTGCAATTTTGTCTATGGCATTATGTGGCACAAACACTGTGGTGTAAATAAATATATAAATCGGGTTCTGCATATCTCAAGCAGTCACACTCAAAAGCAAAACAAACACCAAGTGGCCAGTTGAAGTGGCCAGCAGTCATGACATCAACTTCTCCAAGTCCTCCCCCCTCCCCTTGTCACAGCCTTTAATTAGCCCAGAAAACCAACCGTGTTCTCTGTTGATCTCTCGTTACATTTCACAGGGATTAGTTTCCCCTTACAATCCTTTATGTAACTCATCACATCATCAGGCCTTGCAAATAAGCTATTCTTCGCTGTGTAAACATCTACCCTCTTCCTTTTTTACCCTTCATCTTAAGATAAGATAAGAGGTACTTTATTGATCCTAAATTCAAAACCTCCCCCTCATTTATTTGGTTCCCAGGCCCAGTCAGGCGCGTTCTCGTTTAGTTTCTGTTAGTACCCCATAGTGCCTTTTAGGAGCACCTTTCACTCAACCACGGATTAGGCTGTTTAGTTTCACTGATTCTAGTAACTGTGAAATTGACCACAGGAAGTGTGTTTTACATGCACGTGTGCTTGTGGGGATTATTGTCAGCCCTCGGGTAATGTGGACATTGCACTCCACAAAATTAATTGCCCTCTTGCTGTTCTGCACATTTCATAGAATAGCCTAAATGCTTAATTTCATTTTTTTTTACAATTAGGATAAGAGCGTCTAACAAGTAACATGTAATTATACAAAAACGCTGCTCTGATACCCAGTAAAATACCAGTGAAGATCTGAAGTGATGACTCATTTTCCTATGGATACCCTTTGGCCTTTCACTTCCTGACTCATGCTGTGAAGAGGAAATAGGACATGCGTTTTGAGTCAGACTGTCCCATTTCCACAAATCAATTACAGCTGGCGTGTCATTTTGGTACGTTTTTTAGATGGAACTAATGCCATGTTGTTTCAATCATCGTTTAGGATACCACTGTCTATGAAAAGGAGAAGGACATCATATCTGAAGTGAGTATTTGTGTAATTTTGCGGACTAAACTACACTTATAGTTATTTCAGTGTCCTTTTTATTTTGTGAACGATTGAATGAGATATCTTGATGATAAATGGTGTTTCTTTTGTATTCTCTAGTGCCGTCAGTTGGTGTCGGTGTGTGATGAGATCCTGAGTTTGAGCCCTGAGAATCTTCTTACCCACAGTGCTCAGCTGGAGAGTGTGGACCTAGTGCCTGTGTCACCTGGTGATCATCTGGTAAAGCCTCTTTGCTCTAAATAACTGACCTTTTGTTTTTGATAAATGTGGACATCTTGGGGCAACACTTGATCAACGTTTTATTCATGGCATTTTCACATTTCTTGGGGCATTTGTTCCCTTTGCCACCCTTTTTTATTTCTGACACTAACTCTACTTTTTACAGCATTACAGTAACTTTACCAAATATAAGAACATTTTACTCTCATGCTTTTGATTATAATTGATATATTTGATATATTTCACAACCAAAAAAGTGAAATATTCCCTCGTCCCTTCTCAACTGGAAAAACGTGTTGATTCACGATTTTTATTTTTATCTGACGGTAAACTTTTGTTTTTTTAGTTTCAGACTTACTTTATCTTATAACCTGAAATACTGTGATATGTATTTATTCAACTTTTCAAAATGAATCAAGAAAATAATCATGGATTTAATCAATAAGGAAAGCTTTAACAAGATAAGATAAAATGCACCTTTTTAATCCGCTAATCAATCTCAGAAGTCAGAGCAGCGACACTTCTAGGAGTCTAACACAGGACAGGAATTCTTGATTCACCGTTATTAGCTACATATGCTTAATACATTTGTAAAATTGATAATGATAATCAGCAATCAGATATCTTTCCTGGTCTCCTCTGGGTGTTTCCTTTTTTGTTCGTCTCATCTGTGCAGCATCTGACCATCTCATCATTGCCAGGGTTTTAAAAATCCTGTGACCATGTTATCACTTTAGCCGCTTCTTAAAAATTAACACATTCAAATTGTTCTTATCTTCTTTTACTCTCTCTATCATTTTCAGTATTCATTTTCTGCCTTCATCTCTGCCTGAAGTCTTCCATTATCGTTTGGATTCACTCATCTCTTCTTTCACCTAACTCAAGGTTCTCCCTCTCTACCCGCCTCTCCTCTTGTCTTAATGCTTTAGCCTTCAGTCAGTACATTCAGTAAAGCAATTATAACTCTCCTCTCTGCCTGTTATTTGCATAATATAGTGTGCTTTTAGTTTATTTTTAAGTATGCATTTGTCCAATTTGTTTACCCCTTTGTGTGCTCAGCCCATTAGGTAAAAATCTCCCATGTTAGATGATAATAGCAGTCCAATTTCCTGGTGCTCGCTCTCTCGCTCGATTGGCCTTCATAATCATCCCCAGAGTGTTGTCTTGAAAGCAGATTTGTCAGCTCTCCTTCCTTACCTAGCCAAGCTTCAAGTAGTTTGCATCTATGGATACGTAATTGCGTGTGTCTCTGGGTGGTTGCAGGTGTGTGAACGGAGCAGGTTGTAGCTAAACTGTTGGGAGAACTTCTTCACAATTTGTATTTACTGTAGTGGAAGAAAGTAATTTCAATAAATGGGCTCAACTTCTAGCAACAAAACATGATGATCCTTGGCTGATGGAGAGGATTTGATTGAAACACATCAGAGTTGAATGAAAACATGTTTAAAGTAATAGGACTAAAGACGGAAGAAAAGAGCAGTAATGCCAGAATAATCATAATTCACTGAATGTAGAAAACATGACCCATAAGACAGTGCATCATTCATAAAGTAAATGGGAATCTAAAAGTAAATGCTTGCATTGTGTACATGCAGTGATAGGATGTGAGTAACAAATAGAATCACAGCCAATTTCCTTGTGCATTGCATGTAAATGTTTTGATTTAAAGCAGAGGAAGTCATGGTTTTATTCCTTTTATTAATGTACTGCATTGGTATAAGCTTCTCCTATTAGGACATATCGCATACAGTATATCACAACTGTGTTTTACAACACTGTGTAAACAGCGGCCTCCACTTACAGCATATTTGCCTTTACATTTTATATCCTGCAGTATAAATTATAAATAAAGAGGTTTAGTTTAACCAGATCTCTATGTAAGAGGCTCTTACTTATCTTAAAAGGACCTGGATTCTTTCAGCAAATGGGTTGATTTATAATGATAAACAAAGTGTACTAGTCTATTTAAGGGATGGGAGGAAATAGTGTTTTTGTCTCTGCTTGTTTTTAGTTTAAATCCATTAATGTGTCAGTTGCCATGTGATACATATTGATTATGTGATCTGGGCTTTCTGGGGTGAGACAAGTTGGCTTATGACTCAAAATAATCAATCAATAAAGGCTGATGGGTAATTACAGGCTGAACCATCAATACATCTGGAGACAGACATTAATATCCCCAAAGCCTCCATCAGAGATGACAGTAACAAGATATATCTATGTTTATGTGTCCATTTTGGTGACTCCTTTGACTCTGTGCGACATTTTGTATCACAAATTTGATGGTTTCACTGAAATTTGATTTCTCTGTTTTTCTCTCTCATAGGGTATTGAGATAACATCCACCAGCTCCAGTAACCACTTTGTGACCGGGACTGCTGCTGAGGTCAGACTCTCATTTACTTTCTCTGTAGACTCAGCCCACAAATCCACACGAAGGGTTAACCATCTCTGTGCTCTTAACCAATCCACTGCTACTCCTAAACTCCAGATCAAAAGGTTATCTTCTAACTATGATTTGTGTCTTTGTAAGAGCCATGTGGCTTGAGGTTACGACCAAACAGTTTCACATTGTTTTATTCCTGAACCGGTTCTGTCTTGTTAAAAAGTGCTCCGACTTGTCCGATCCTGAAGGAGATAACAGTTGTAATACTCGCTCACTCCTAAAGGAGGGTGAAGATCTGCTTTTGCACTTTTTCTGATTCTCTGATCTGGACGAAACTGGAAGTACATGTTCAGTTGTGAAAGTGTAAATAAGTTAAATCATCAGTTTTCCCATTTCCGGCTACACATCAACTCTTTTCTATGTTTGTGACAATAACATGTCATTTAGTGGGTTTGGTAATCATGTTTTCTTCTGCTATGCATACTCGAAGTATAACCCATTTTAATTTGGAAGCATGAGCTCTGGACTAAGCAGAAATCTTGGAAATCCCCTTGCAAGTACTTTTGTGTGACCCATTATCTTTCTTTGCATCACTGCTTTGAAATTAAAAGCAATCTGAGCCCTCGTGCTGCTGGCATTTATAAATATCAACTTGAGGCTGCTTGTTATTAATGCTGCGGACTGTGTGTAAACACAAACACATCTTTCAGTACATGAGAGTTGCATGTGTATTGTGGCATAATTATAAATAACAAGGTATCCATCCATTGTACTCTTATTAAAGTTAAAGATGGAGATAAACTGCAATAGAACACATTCTCCCCCTTATTTTAATTTGTTTATATGCCATTTGATTCAAGTAGACGATGAGACAAGTGACCTCTAAATATTTGTATAGTCACATTTATAGTAGCTTATCGTTAAACTGAATAAAACTAGGAAAAAAAAATCTTCCCATAGAAGGAGCAGAGTTACACAACCTTCTAAGAGAGCTGAAGATCTATTAGATAAAGAAAGCTTGTGTAATAAGCTCTGGAGCGATACAAAGATGGAGCAGTGTTTGTTTGGCAGAATAAGGAGGGCTTGTAAAAAGAGTGCGAGGGCAGTTCTCCTGTGAGACAGAAAGACGGAGATGTTATTTTTCCATGATGTCAACAGCAGAGTACCCTCGACTCCCTAGCTACTGAACTTACATCAGAACAGCAGACTGCTAAGGAGAGACTTGACCACCAGCCACACACACACACACACACACAGTACAGCCTCAGTGCATTATCTCGGTGCTGCCTCCCACAGAGAAACACCGAACAATTATACAATCAACCGGAGTACTGTTACTGTAAGGTTTCCACAAAGCCAGTTCAGGCTTATTTCTCATTAGCCTGGGTGATATAAGTTTATAGACTTTAAAGTACCATGGAAGCTATTCCTTTTATTACTTTCTGTTTTATTAATTAATCGTAGGCTATAATTTAAACAGAATTGTATGCTTTTTCTTAATTTGTCATGTTTTTCATCAAAATTAACCAAGCACAGACATTTCCAAAAGGATACATACAATGATGAAGTATTTAATTTTAGGGTCCTACATTGTACATGTTATAATTTATGATAAACTACCATGTCATAAGAACAACTATTACATTTATTTTAAATGTTTGGAAATGTCAGCATACACAAATTCGTCCATGATGTATGAAAAATGAAATATCCATACAAATGATATAGTGTTAGAAGAGTTGATGTCCTCATAGTTACAAAAAGAGTGTTCAACATTCCAATAATATCACAGCAATGCACAGTACAGCACTTCACTGAATATGTATGTCCTCACTCATTGCAAGTCACTGTGGATATTAGCATAAGTTGTTGTTAAATAAACTAATTCCGCTGGATTTTTGTTATTTTGATTTCTTATTTCTGTTGATTTTCCCTTCTATTGCAGTCTTCAGATGATGCCTATTTGAAGATTTTGGCCGGAGATGAGGTGATTCAAGTCAACGACCAGATAGTGGTGAGTTCAACAATACATACAGTATACAGAAGGCTGTAAATACATTATGTTTCACTGCTCCATTGAGTTGCATATCCTCTCAGTCTTATGTCTAAGCTACAAAGTAAATGAGACATCCCTGTAATAATAGATGTTCCTGCTAAAAGATCCCGTGTCTCATTCAATAACCTTCAAAGTGTAATAATTCTGTTTTGCTCCGTCAGGTGGGCTGGAGCAGAGCTAACCTTGTGAAGAAGCTGCAGGAGAATCCCAGCGGAGTGACTCTGGTCCTGAAGAAGATTCCTGGGTCAGTGCGACGCAGAAACCCACTCCGGCTCTCCTCCAGACAGGTCAGGCATCATTAGCAAATGAAAAGTGTGAATGTGCTGTATTTATTATATAGGAAACTGTGATTCGCTGCAGTGCAGTCCAGGAAATAAAAAATGGATGACTATCATCATGTTAGAAGTGTATTTTCCGAAACAAATGGATAGATTTTCATCATCGTTGCTTTTGAAATTCATGGTCCAAATAGTAAGATTTGTACAAAAGTAATATCAAATCATTCACAATCTCAAGTGCAGATTGAATAACTTGCAAAAGCTGTAGAAAATTAAAATGTAATTGATGTAATCATTCACTAAGACAAGAGAAGACATAACGTAATACATTATGTGACATTAACAGAATATCTTTATAATTCATTAACAGTTTAAGTTATAACATCATTGTGCTAGTAAAGTATCTTCACTCCAAACACCATTTTGACACAACACGAGGGAAACTGTGCATGAAATCACTGTATACCAGGATGAACAATTACTCACCCCACACAGGGACTTGAACATTTCTCAGGCATGATATTCTTCTTGTTACTCACACTTTGCCTCATGAGCTTGTGGGCCTGAAAACTTCATTTTGAAATTGTGCAATCAAGTTTGTGAAACCATTAGAAGGAGCCCCATGATAACAGTGTTATGTTTCACACGTACAATTTACATATTCTGCCACTTAGTCTCCGTTTAGGGTGATTACACCCAGGTTCAAACGTCCTATCATCCTTCAGAAATTGTCCTATTCACACATTTTGTGTCCAGGGAACCCAAAGCTCATCACGACAATCCCCTCCTCGATTTCCGTTCAACACTCAGTAGTCACTATGGCGACTGCTGTTTGTCTTTAATTACACACTGTCAATCAATCAATGTTTATTTATATAGCCCAATATCATAAATGTTACATTTGTCTCAGTGGACTTCACAGTTTGTACAAAATACCAGTATGAAAATACGACACCCTCTGTCCTTAGACCCTCACATCGTACTAGGAAATACTTCCAGAGAAAACCCCACAGTTTAAAGGGGAACATGGGAGAAACCTCAGGGAGAGCAACAGAGGAGGGATCCCTCTCCCAGGACGGACAGACGTGCAATAGATGCCGTGTGTAAATCCAAGAGATAATACATTTTGGAATGCAAATAAGAAACAAAATACTAGACTGTGCCCGCGGGAGAGAGACTACCGGTCAAGTTAATGTCACCCTCGAATGAAAGTAGTTGGGTATAGTTAATAGAAAGTCCGGAGAAACAAATCACAACACGTTCAAATATCCCCTTTTTAGAACAAAAACTATCATGAACTATGTCTACACAACCACAATCGACTGATCAGCCTCATCCAGATTTCACGCGACAACAAATTAAAAGAACCGTTGAAATTTCCTAGGAACGTACCTAGAGAACGTTAAATAATCGAAGACCCAAATAAGAGGTCAAACCCCATCCAATAACATCCGTCGATCCGGGAGGAAAATTTTCGAACACTTTAGGTGCAAACCAGGTACACCGCTTGGTCTCTATATTTTTTTGTTTATCTCCACCTGTCGATACATACCGAGAGTGACTTTCCTCGGTCCCTGGACTGCCTCTCGACGATGGGAGGTTTCTACCTCGCGAGCCCCAAGCGAGGAGCAGGAGCAGGAGGGGGGAATGGGAGGGAACGAATGGAGAGAAGGAAGATGGAGAAGGAGGAAAAGACCTGACTTTTTTTCACTCGTATGTATGCTTAGATGACTCCCACCGACGAGATTTGAACGATTTGACACAAACGACCCCATCACCTCATTCTCCGCCTACAGTACACACAAACTTATCGTACCGAAAAGGAGGAGTCCAGAGCGCGCGTGAGTCGAGACACCAAACCCTCTACTCTTTCTGTTGTGTGCTAGTGTGTGTGTGTGTGTTGTGTCGTGTGTGTGTGTGTGTGTGTGTGTGTGTGTTGTGTGTGTGTGTGTGTGTGTGTGTGGGTGCGTGGTGGCGTGGTTGTGTGTGGTGTGTGGCTGTGTTTGTGGGGGTGGTGTGTGTGTGTGGTGTGTGTGTGTGTGTGTGTGGTGTGTGGTGTGTGTGTGTTGTGTGTGTGTGTTGTGTGCAGCGAAGTCGATTAAGGTCTGTTTCCTCAACGATGAGGCACAGGGGTGGGATAGGGATTCCTACACGTCAATGCATACTGTTGCAAATCAAAACGACGCATATCCGAATCTGTACCAGCCCCTCGTGGAATGAACGAAGGAAGGACCAGACCAGACATGGAACACATGTAGAGTTACAAGGCTTATTGGCAAGGGGCTTTACAGAAAAACCACAGATAGCATGTGGTCCTAGACTCCAGCACCCGACTACGGCACAACGACGCCAGGACAACACGGACCCCTAGGAGATAGGACTCAAGGCACTTAGGCGCTCATGACCTAGGTACCAAAGGGACCCTAGGAATCAGGACTCCATGGATCCTGGACACGGACTAGAGATAGGACTCAGGCACCTAGACTAGGACCTGAAGCTCAGCACCGACTCTGACAGAGACGCAGGACGGACTGAGAGTGCTATTGTAAGGGACTACCGAGGGTGTCCCTGCCACAACTTAGGAGCACCTAAGTAGGAAGAATAATATCTGTGATCGGTAAGGTTTGTAACCAGAAAGGTTTGT